TAGTAAATTTTCTTTATCAATCGAGATTAATTAAGTAATTAACCGCGTGTTTTGCCTAAGCAGTCATAATCAAACAGGTATTAATTATGTTGCATGACTAATTCCAATAGTTTTTCTTTTTAAATAAAAATATTAACCTTTTTCTTAATATAAAAAGACCAAGAGGAATGTCGGGATAAAAATTGGTGAAATTATTGACCAAAAAATGATTTTTCACCAACCTTCATTCTTCCCATTTACCCCTCTTCACCAAGAGAGTTTTAATTTCAATTAGTTAACTTGTCTTAAATATATATATGTGAAAATATCAAAAGTGCTATTTATATTTAAAAAAAAGGAGCTATAGAACATTGAAATTGTTTACATTTCTTCAATTTTGAAATCATCATGTGTCATGGCTGACCCAGGGTCGCTAATTTTTTTCTTCTTCTTCTTTTTCTTCTTTTTTCTTCTTCTTCTTCTTCTTTTTCCCCTTCAACCATGATGTTTTGGTGGAGAGAATAAGATTTGTTTGGTCAGACATTTTAGCATGTGTTTAAGAATGTTTCCAATGTAAAACCAACATTTAGCTCAGTCCACCTACAAAAATGCAATGTTAGAAAAGTCAGTCTTAAGGAACTTTAATTATTGCTTGTGAACTAGTCCCCCAACAAACATCTTTGTTTTTGTCAAAATTTTTGAGTAATTTAATTTTCAATCACCAACTACTTTGATGAGACACAAATATTGTGCATTAAGCTTTCACAAACACATAATAATATCATCACTAAAATATGTAAAATTACACATTTAGTTTTAATGTTTAATTGAGAAACAAAGGAAGGAAGGGGACTCAATTGAAGAAAAACATAAAAGTAGGAATAATTAGCCAAACAAGAAAGGGTCCAGGGACCCAATTGAAACAAGATGAAGTCAAGAACTCAGACCTCCTATGAATCCTAGAATAGCTTGGGGACAACACGTGCAATTTTCACATTATTAAAATGCATTGAGTCTTTTTCTTTCACTGCAAGGTCTTCCTCTCCATGATAAAATGATGTTGGAAAACATTGCTAATCAATCAATAATTAATACAGCATTCTAGAGTTCATATTAATGGGTCTTAAAATCAAATTAAAGATTTTTTTTTATTTATTGTCAAAATGTTTTAGAGTGTATATTAAAACTAATATTTTCTTAAGCAATATTAATTAAGAGCGTGTCTTATATCGATTTACTATTTTTAAGAAAATTTATTTTTTTTAAATATTAATCTTAAAATTTAAATTTTAAACTTAATTTATAAGATAACTTATAAGATAATGTTTAAATAGTAACAGATTTAATTCTTTGAGTTAAATTAAATCTCTTTAACATTAATTTAGTAGATGATTAATAACAAACAAAAGGGGTTAGTTGGGTGGCACAACGTAGCACTGAG